GGTCTAAGGACAGGCAACATTGGCGTACCTTAGTTATAGTTAAGACCTCATGTACTACGTAGCGTGAAGAGGATTAAGTACATAATATAAGTACAGTGTAAGTAATCATCATCAAAGTAAAAACACATCAATGTCTATTAGTTTCACATAGGTTTTGAGATAAATCAAGGAAGCAAGGGAAAGAGAAATATATTTTATATAAAGTCCACTATAACTCTCAAAACAGTACTGTCATTTTCATAATTATAACAGGCTTTATTTCTTCATTTAGACATCAGCAATCATTACCAATAAAAACATTAACCCTTTAAGCCCCGGTAGAAATACCATATTTTCAAAAATGGTAACTACAGTACTACACGCCCAAATACCACAAGTAATGGCCACAACAGACATACAGGAAGTCACATATTGGATTGAAGAGTACTCCAAAATGAACTAGTGGCCCGTTAGGCCATATTGGGTAACGATTATCGCACTTTGCAGATATAAAGGGATAACTGTAATATACCTCACCCAAACCTAAGTCGGCAAGAGATCCCCCTCCAACAAAAGAACAGAGGTTCCACGTAGATTCCACTGCCTACATGTACAGATCCCCTCTTATCACAGTGTGCCAGCGCATGTCACACATCACTATAGACAGTGCTTTTTTTGTTGTTGTTGTCGATAGTGTTACATAATTCGTAATCCATTTGTTTTAAGTGTTTCCTAATCCGTTGTGAATGACCATTCCATGTCACCCGGCATGTCATTACCGCAAAAGACAGTTCACAATTCCGCATAGGACAATTTAGCACCGAACGTGAAGTTTCCCATTTCCGTATGTCCGCGTATGTTAGTCGATTCTTTCCAAAATACGACGGTCTTGTATTGTATTTAAAGCGTTCCAAAAGTGCAATTTCACGATGATAAAATGCCCCACCGCCAGGGAGAAACATACTTCCATTCGACCTGAATGCCAAATGCTAATAATGAAAATAATAGATATGTTCATTGTAAAACAGTCTGTCTTATCAGGGAATATTGACTTGACACGTAGATAACTTTGAGCTATAATTGACTGTCTTATCAGAGAATATTGACCTGACACTCTTGACACACTCTTGACCTCCACAATAGACCCAGTTTTGGGTATGCAAACAATTTGAAATATTCAGAACTCAATCAGGCTTATTTTCACCTTTTACACGGAGGTAAACTTTATTTTCATTATATTATTGTATGCGTAATTGCTATTGAGTTTGAAAATAAATTGTTTAACGTTTGAATTTCCATCATCTTAACTTAAATAATTTCCTTCCTTTTTCCAGAGATGAAGACCGTCGAAGTTCATTGTGTTTTTAGACAACCGCTAGTAGACAAGACACCCATGTGGCTAGCAGATGTGTCGACATGCTGGCGCATAAATTTCACTCTTGCCAGTTTTTAATTTAGTCATAACATTTTGTTTCGGAAATTTCAACAATAAGTTGTAGAGATTGTCCTTTTCCCTAAAATGTCCTGATTTGGGGCAAATCACGCCAGCGACTTGTAGGAAATCTGGCGATTATATTCCGAATTTGGGCGCTACACGCATGCGTCTTTTGCACAAGTAGCTTGTAGTGTATCATAATGGAAACCGCGACACAAAAGAAAAAAATATATACCTTACGCCGTTGCAGTAGAGTTTGAAGCGTTGTTAGAAGCAAAATCTCGTACTTCAATTTTCCATACGTTTCTTTAAAATATAACATCTTAGACGAAAAAAAAGTTGAGTGATCGAGTGATCCATGACAGAAACTGCCCATACAAATATATTGAGTCACGCAATATATATTGCGTTACCCAATATAAAAACGTTAAAAAATACCTTATTCCTTGTATATATTGAGTATACCCCTAAACAATAGCTTAATTTGCAGCTCTTGGTGTGTTGGTTGTTATTAGTTATTCACTTAAAAGTGTAACAGGTAAAAGTTGCAAAAGTTGAAGGGGTGGTTAATCATGTCTGATACAGGAGGGGGTATGATTTTATGCTTCACATGTACAGATCTTGCCAAGTTCGCTTTGGTGTCCAAATTTCATACAAATTGACCTAATATTGAGCTTGTAATAGCATTTTTGGCACTATCGGGGCTTAAAGGGTTAAGTAACCAGGGCCGGGTTGTTCAAAGGACGATTAAGCTAATCCAGGATTAGCTTGAATATGGATTTCTGTTTTGTAACTTTTCAGTGAAGTTTTCTGTTCATATTGTTTGTCCTTTAGTTTTGACTTTGAGTAATCTCAAACTCTACTTAACAATTAGATTATGAGCTCGAGATTTCTATGATGTGCTAGTTGATGAGGCCATAGGCCGAATCAACTATCACATCATAGAAATTGAGAGCGAATAATCTAATTGTTTTAGTAAAAATCATAACAATTGTCTAGTATTAACTCTAAATCTTCTTCCGAAACTTCGGAGAAACGAGAAGAAACCGCAATTTTGTAGACGACCTCCAGCCACTGCACACTAATGGCTGATAGTGTACGAGTAGCTCAGCCAATCAGATTGTCTCATTTGCATTAGTATACTAGTAGATTTTTACTAAAAAACATTAGAAGTGAAAACACTTTTATACAAGAGAAATTACAACCTCGATTTACTTTTAATCCTGGATTAGCGTTAATCGGTTTTCGAACAACCGGGCCCAGATGGAGATAGCTTCGTTTATTTTTCCGAGTAGCTTGTAACACTGACTGATTAACATCTTTCTCATATTTCTACAAAGCTTAAAATATACCATAATTTTTTTCCACATATTCTCACTCATCAACAAATTTGTCACATTTGAACCTAGTAATATGGCCTAAGCTCTTCTGTAGCTCAATGGTAGAGCATCTGACCGGTGTGCGGAAGGTCATACAATGTAGGTTCAACTCCTGTTGGGAGAACTCGGAAAGGTTTTCTGAGTAGCTTGTGTCACTGGCTGATTAACATATTTCTCATTTCCAGCATATTCACGTAAGACAGCTTTGAAAGGAATCTGTACACATGTACTTACTATATTCTGGGATATCTTCAGTTACGGAAGCATTTAGTCCAGGTTTGACAGTCACAGCTCTGACACGGAACTGATAGGTGACTCCACCCAACACATCAACTGAGTAACTAAACACATCTGCTCCAAACGTTTCAGTGTGAATATCCTGTGGATCTTCACTGTGACTATACAACACTGTGTAATTCCTGATAATTCCATTTGCTTTTGTAGGAGCACTCCAGGTCAGGTTTATTCTTGGACCATGTGACACACTTGGTGGTATATAAATATGACTGAGGGAAGCAGGAGCATCAGGTGCTGATGGCAGAACAATATAAACACATTACAGTGGAACCCCACCTTACGACCACCTCGTTAATAAAACCACTTTCTTTTGTCCCGAACTGAAGTAATCTCTCAGTCATTTTTTTATTTAAGAACCCCTTTTTAAAATACGACCACCCCATTTGAGACCAGATTTTGCTGGCCAGTTGGTGGTCGGATTGGGATTAACAGGGTTCCACTGTACTTGTAGCACTTTTATAGGAATATAAATCCAAATGGTTATATACACTGTATTCTATTCACTTATTATGAAGGTTACATTATTGGAAACTTGACGTTTTCAGTTTTTCAAGATGGTTTCATGAAGGACAAATAATTTTTAAAACATTGTTTGTAAAGTGCTAAAATTAAAAGTATAAATCGAGTTTAAGTACCATTCTGTGACTTTGAACATTATAAAGTCATATTACTGTACCATAAGGTATTTTAGTGACTACTAAATTTTGAGCAATTTTTCTTTTCCAAGATTTAGCAAAAAGCTTTTAGCCAGAAGGGCATCCAGGTGTCCTGTGGGCGCCCAATCCGGGGAGAAAATGATGAAAAAATACACCAAAGCTTAAACAAATATATGAGGACATGCCTTCAGAATGCCCACTTTTCAAATTCTGGTTAAAAGTCTGTAATAATACCAAAAGGTCTAGACAGTAACAAACTGACAATAATTTTTAAATACTTCTTAGAGGTGCCCATGAAATGTTAACAGCAGTCTCATTCAGTTTAAAGGATGAAACATTCTTTGGACCAACACTGGGTTCTAACAAAGAAAATAGACGTCAATAGACCTTATTCATAAATGGCGGCCGATTAATTATTCTTTTATATTCATGCTAATCAGCCCCCCTAGACTCATTAGTATGTGTAAAATTCAAAATAATTTTTACTCTAAAATGAGGCTAGGGAGGCTGATTAGCATGAATATAAAATAATAAATAATCTGCCGCCATTTATGAATAAGGTATATATCTCGGTTGAGATCAGACGTCCGAGATGGTGTTGGATAGGCCATGTAAATCAGATGGACCGAAAATTACAATGAGATGAACTCCAGTTGGAAAAACAAACCGGGCCGGACATCCAAAAGAGACTTGGAGGAGTTTGATCAGTTGATAGAGAGATGAAGGACAGGCAACATTGGCATACCTTAGTTATGACCTTATGTACTAAGTACATGTAAGTAAGTAATCATCATCAAAGTAAAAAACATCAATGTCTACTAGTTTCACTTAGGTTTGAGATAAATCAAGGAAGCAAGGGACAGAAAAATTGTATAATACAGTGTATATTTTATATAAAGTCCACTATAACTCTCAAAACAATACTACTGTCATTTTCATAATTATACAACATAGCATTTTAGAGTGCGAATATGCACCAAGACGAGTGTAAATATGAGACCTCATTTCTACATTTAGACATCAGCCATCATCACCAATAAAAACATTAAGTAACCAGATGGAGATAATATGGAATATTTTTTTCCCAGTAGCTTGTATCACTGACTGATTGACATATTTCTCATATTTCTACCAAGCTTAAAATATACCATCATTTCTTTCCACGAATTCTCACTCACAAATCTAATCCTAGCAGTATGCGGGAAGTTTGTCACATTTGAACCTAGTTATATATATGGCCAAAGCTCCCACGAGTCTTCTGTAGCTCAGTGGCAGAGTGTCCGACCGGTGTACGGAAGGTCATACAATGTAGGTTCAACTCCTGTTGGGAGAACTTGGAAAAGTTTTCTGAGTAGCTTGTGTCTCTGACTGATTAACATATTTCTCATTTCCAGCATATTCACGTAAGACAGCTTTGAAAAGAATCTGTACACATGTACTTACTATATTCTGGGATATCTTCAGTTACGGAAGCATTTAGTCCAGGTTTGACAGTCACAGCTCTGACACGGAACTGATAGGTGACTCCACCCAACACATCAACTGAGTAACTAAACACATCTGCTCCAAACGTTTCAGTGTGAATATCCTGTGGATCTTCACTGTGACTATACAACACTGTGTAATTCCTGATAATTCCATTTGCTTTTGTAGGAGCACTCCAGGTCAGTTTTATTCTTGGACCATGTGACACACTTGGTGGTATATCAATATGACTGAGGGAAGCAGGAGCATCAGGTGCTGATGGCAGAACAATATAAACACATTACAGTGGAACCCCACCTTACGACCACCTCGTTAATAAAACCACTTTCTTTTGTCCCGAACTGAAGTAATCTCTCAGTCATTTTCTTATTTAAGAACCCCTTTTTAAAATACGACCACCCCATTTGCGATCAGATTTTGCTGGCCAGTTGGTGGTCGGATTGGGATTAACAGGCCAGGTTCCACTGTACTTGTAGCACTTTTACATGTATAGGAATATAAATCCGAATGGTTATATACACTGTATTCCATTCACTTATTATGAAGGTTGCATTATTGGAAACTTAACGTTTTCAGTTTTTCAAGATGGTTTCATGAAGGACAAATAATTTTTAAAACATTAAGTACCATTCTGTGACTGAACTTTATAAAGTTATATTACCATAAGGTAATACTATTTTAGGGGCTAATAAATTTTGAGCAATATTATTTTTCTTTCCCATAGACTTAGTGAAAAGCTTTTAGCCAGAAGGGCATCTAGGTGTCCTGTGGATGCCCAATCCTGGGAGAAAATGATGGAAAAATTCACCAGAGCTTTAAGAAATATATGAGGGACATGCGATGATGCCTTCAGAACGCCCACTTTTCAAATTCTGGCTAAAAGTCTGTTTAGTGACAATCGAATTTTATTAGCAATTTCTTTCAATTTTGATGTTCTCAGTTGAAACTTCTTAGAAGTGATTTTTAAATTTAGCAATAATTATTACTTAATTCGCAAAATTTAGTAGCTGCTTAAAATAGTAATGTTGAGGTATATCTTTGTCAAATTGTGGATTATATGTGTGTACATGTACATGTATCATTGAGCTATGGATTAGAACTCAAGGAAATGACAACTCAGTCTTACCATCTTCGTTGGTTCTCTCAACTTTTACAGCACTGGTCGGTCCATCGCCAGCAGAAGTGAAAGCCAACACTTTCAATTCATATTCTGTGTACTCTTCTAGCCCAGTGACATCTTTTGTGAGAATTGCTCCATCGGTAATAGGAGGTAACATGGTAAATGAAACTGCAGAGTCATTCCTTTTGTAGAACAGTTTAAATCCTGTGATGATTATTGCATGTCTGGCATTTATGGGTGGTAACTGCCAGGATGCTACAATACTGGTAGAACTGCTTGCTGTCACATTGAAGTTACTAGGAGCTTTTGAAGGAACTGAGAAATATAATATTGTAATAATTTATTCATAATTGTAAATGTGGATTTGTGGATTTGTTGAAACCTGTTTGTAAGATTTTTCATTTGTTATATAAGCTCTAATCAAAATCTTACCATCTTGATTTGTCACCAATGTTTAAACAGAGACTTACATGTACAGCAAGTAAACAGCTATACATTGCTGGGCATTTTTGAAAGACATGTACTTAGTTTACCTGCAGATACAAGTATTCCAAACACTTCAACTCTCAGAGCTTTGTGAGTCTCGTAATCTGTTGCATATGGCAGAAAGCGGATAAACCTGGCACTTGCAAATTCCTTGAGACTGTGTTTTACTATGTCATCTCTTCCAGAATTACCATTGAAGACCTGCAAAATAAGTTAATGACCAGTTTGTAAATAATTATTGTCAGTGATGAACATTCTACATCCACATAATTTTATTTTCAGAGTCACAATCAGATTCAGAATCAGAGTCGCAGTCAGTTGGCACAGTAATAGTAATAAATTAGCAGGTCACCACTGCCTGGTCATCATCGTGATAGTAGTGGACTGCACTATAGACCTTATGCTACACTATACACAGCCACTACACTGCACTACAGCACTGTAAAATTTGTTATCCTGGGAAGTTTGAGCGGTTTTGGTTTAATGGCTACAAAGTTATGGTTGTTTCAAATTTAAGACATTTGTAAGGGAAATCAAAACCTGGCCTCACAAGCCTCATTTTCATGTTCGTGCAAAAATTGAAATGCCTACAACTTCTCCCCAAAATAGGAATATGGCCTTAAACTTACACATATTGACTCATTTTGATATGATCTTTCTTGTTATTGAATTCTTTCTTCAGTTATAGGCATTTTAATTTTCAAAAAAATTGCTGGGCAGCCATTTATGAAAGAGGTGTATTGTGGTAATTACTTCCTACTGTATCTAATGTTTACACCTATTTCAATTAACGTTGTCGGATAGAAATGTTTTTAAAAGCCCGCAAATCCCGCAAGACAAGACCGAAAGGTAGCATGGTTAAAAATAGAAAACTGCTGCACGCACCGAATACTAATGAGAAGTAACATGAAAAACATTATTTCTAACGTCCTTCCTTTTTGTTTTAAACCTGTAGAAGTAAGCTACTTTTAGCCAAACTTAATTTTAGCAGAATCAGCTAGTAAAAAAAACATGGAAAAACAAATTGTCTAATTCGGGGCAAACCAAATACATCACATCCAAAATTAAAAACTTGTAGATTTCTTTTCCACCGATATGCAAATTCTAATGAATACCCAGACTACCAATCGGTCTTGTCTTGTAGGCTTTGCGCTTTCTATCCGACAACGTTAATTGAAATAGGTGTATTCAAACCAACCTTATCAACACTGTTTTCTTGATAAGTGACCCAGTCATTATTGTTAAGTGATAACTGTAGCTTATATTTTGTTGTCCACTCATCTGCAGTTGACTTTCCTTGAGTAGCCACAGCACAGATAATAAACTCATATTGCAGGTCAATTTGTAGATAGTCATTAGCATTGCTGTCAGTATTAGGTGACCATGCACCAACTGTGTTCAGTCGACCTTTAGAAGCTACATTAGTACTACTTGATGACGAAGCCGAGAAGGTATTGTCTGGAAATGCATCACTGCTGGCCACACCAAGCGCCTGGATTTGACATGCTGAAATGAAAATCAAGTGTTTGAAATGTTAAACCGAAATGCATTATAACACTTTATACATCTATTCCTGCCAACTTTTCCTGAGTCAAATGCTTGAGATTTTTGTCTTTTATTTCCGAAGATGACCCGAAGTTTCCGACTGTTGCCGAAGACATTCGGAGATTTGCGAAGATGTTTCGAAGATTTCTGAACGTTAACAAAGAGTTTGTATCCAGTTCTACAATGTGTTTGGACACGGTTTGGAGGATTCAAACACAACATATACACTGTAGCGTTATTTATAGGACTATGTTTCCTCGCGTTGGTTTGACATTGGTTTGAGTTTACATTTTTTTCGAAAGTGTGTCAGTTAATGCTGCAATACATGTAGCTCCAATTTTTCAGCCAGGCATGAGAAATTGGTCCGTAGGCGCGAGCAGGCATGAGATCAAAGTTTTCGACTGGCAGGCGTGAGAGTTGGCAGGTATATATATAGTACACCTCTTTCATAAATGGCCACCCAGCAATTTTTTGTCTGGCAACGTTTTCAAGAATATTGATGCTATTACATTACCAAGCACTGCAAAATATGTTATCCTAGGAAGTTTGAGCGTTTGTGGTTTAACGGCTGCAAAGTTATGGCTGTTTCAAATTTAAGACATTTGTATGGGAAATCAAAACCTGGCCTCATGCAAAAATTGAAATGCCTACAACTTCTCCCCAAAATAGGTCTAGGAATATGGCCTTAAATGTACACTGACTCAATTTGACATCTTTCTTGTTATTGAATTCTTTCTTCAGTTATAGGCATTTCAATTTTCAAAAAATAGGCCCGCGACGCGTGCTCATGGCTACTGCAACTTTTACTCAGAGAATGCGCATACATGTAGCCCATAAGCCGAGTAAACGGAATGGGTTAGGGACTCTCGTGATTTCAATCAGTAAGGTGGATTCTCGGAAATGCCGTGAAAAATTAACAAGTCGATACTAAAACATAAGATGCAGTCTCGCAATGGAATGATTACGATGGGAAATAGGAATACGGATGAACGGAAGATGTTTACAACTGTATTTGGGCTAGACGCTTTGCTGTTTTAAAAGGATTAGTCTTCAAGGAAATCAATACTGAAAACTTTGGAAATTGAGGTTAGTTTACTTAATATTTAGTTATTAGTTTCTTGTGATGAGAGAAATGACAGTCCAATCCACTGTATATACATATGTGTGACGGTTATTTTAATTTATAACCCATCAAAATTTTTTCTCGCGCGCGATTGGTCTAAACACGTCACATGACGCAGCCAAAACTGGGGAATATCCGGGTGATATTCCCCAAGTGATATTCCCCAGTTTTGAAAATTTGCGTTTTACGTTCGCAAGTTCAGTTTCCGTCTCAAATAAATTGCTAAATTAAATAAAACTGATTGTTTTGAACAGACTAGAAATATTTTTGAACGCCAACATAATTATTTTAATGATGTTTAACAGCTTGGCCGACCGAGATCTTCCACGGCAAGGAGAGCGGCCTTGTGAAAAAATATTTGAAGGATAATAACTACAATAGCCTCCATTTGGCTTCAAAAATATACTCGGATATTTTGTCCTTGGACATTATCTGTTCCTCGAAGCTCACAGTTTTCCTCGAGCTTCGCTCTCGGAAAACTGTTCGCTTCTCGGAACAGATAATGTCCGCGAACAAATATCCGAGCATATTTCCTCGCCAAATGGAGGCTATTGTTTATGTAAACATTTTTATT